CCTAGTACTGGCCTGGGGGACCGGCAAAGGCAGCAAAGGAAACGCGCGAGTGGGAAGCTGTGCTTACATGTCAGGACGGGTGGGGAGAGCGCCTACAGAAGCACTTCCAGCAACTTTTTGCGAAACAACAAGCATCAACTGTAGCACAGGATATGGAGAAGATCTGGAGGGAGCTCGAAAGAGCCTGCAAGCATGTTGCGTGGAAACCGTTCTCCGGCGAAGAACTCCGGAGATGTGCTGGAGCATGCGCAGGAGGAAAGAGCACAGGGCCTGACGGCGTCAGCTACGAAGCCCTCCAGGTGATGAGAACGCATAGGCATTGGGAAAATCGGCTGCAACGACGCCCTGTACGGCTGCACCCGCAAGCCAAAGACTCAGTAACCATCCTCTTGCCAAAGGAAAGGCATCTCACGGAGTGGGGACAGACCAGAACTATAACACTTTCTAGCGCCCTGATGCAGATTCAGCTTATACTTGGGAGGGTAGGACGCAAGAGACTGGAGGATGCCACCGGGCAGTTCGAAAGGCCAGGCAGGCAGGCCAGGGAATGCTACTTCTGAGGAAACAAGAAGAACAAGCAAAGAATGGTGCCTGCCGCTTCACTTCTTGAGAATCAATGTGAAGAAAGCTTTCGACTTGGTCGCCCAAGCCAGTCTTGCGCAAGCCATAGCGGACAAACTACACGGCGTGAAATTCATGTGGGAAGCGCACCTGTGGGTGGACCTATACTCCAGAATCAAGGCCTCCAGATACAAGCGCAGAATCGGACCCATCCAGTACCTAGACGAACGGAGTCAGACAGGGCTTGTCAGACAGCCCAGTGGCTATCGCGCGAATTATCGCCGATGTGCTACAGGAAACCTTGACCTGGAAGCCCCCCCTGAGCCAACAAGCCAAAGCGCAACGCACGAGAGAGACAGAGTCCAGAACAAAGCTGGGCACACCATCGCCCGTTCCTGCAAAGGCTCTCAAACAACCTGGCAGCCAACCTCAAGCGCAGGAACTTGGACACACATGCAGGAAAAACCAGCTACATACACAGCGAGGAGGGTAAACAAATGCTGAAAGTAGGTGACAGGGAGATTGAGGGGGAATCGGACAATAACAGGCTGGGTCCTTTTTCCGGTCACCAGGGCGTTTTGTGTCGCACAGTTAAGGCTAAGGGTGACGTTCCGGGTTCCCAAACTGTGCCCAGGGCTGAGTGCTTCGCGGGTCTCACAGTTTTACAGGCCGCCAGAAATGTTATCCTCTACTCTGACTGTCAGTACTTTGTGGATGGCTGGGATTGGTCCGGAGAAATTCCGTACTCTCTTATTCCAAATGGGGACATATGGCAACGCATGGACCACCTCAAATCACAGGCCGCTGCTGAGGGTAGGTCTCTTCAAGTTTGAAGGCAAAGGCCCACCGGCCTCTGTCTGCCGCTCGGGATGATGATGACCCCTTTTTGTATCGAATGTGGCGGCCTTGCTGATTCCGCAGCCAAGGACGCAGCATGTCTTAGTGTCGCTATGGCCCAGCTTCGTCGCCAGCATCGGGTTCGGGTTGGTCAAGCTAAGCTAGCACGCCGGCTCTTTCTTGACATCCAGTGTTCATCCATTCAAAAGCTTCAAGAAATTGCTCCTCGCAAGAGCGCAGGTGTTATTCTGCCAGCGCGCAAGGACTGTGTTGCACCAGTCCGGATCTCAGGCATGGACGGTGTCCGCCCCCTTCCCGCCCTTGCCTGACACGATACCTAGGTGGTGTTGTCATGCTGGTGTCGGCGAAGGTATCTTCGCCAAATTAATCCTCCTCTGGGCCTCTGGGCATCCCTTCTCCACTGGGATGTCGAGGCCGATCATCACCAGGTTGTCTCATGGGTTGAACTTGTTGCCAGCTTTGAAATGTCGATGGGTGCCAGGATGCCCCAGCAGAAAGGTGTGCGTAGCAAGGGCCCTGCCGAAAAGGTGCTCAGCTGGAGTCCACTGGATGCAGACTTTGGCAGGGACACACCGCAGGGTGTGAAGGCCGATGAGTTCCTCACAGCCTGCGGCCAACTATAGGAAGGCTGCTGAACGTCAGACTTCTCAAAGAAGGGCGCGCTACGATAAACCTCGGTACCCTTCACGGCTTTCCAGGTAACAGAATTCCCGTGTCCGCCATGAGTCGCCGCCCAAGGTTTCCTTATCCAGGGCCATCGGGCTTTGGCGTCCACAGTCACGAAGATAGGTCCACACAGCTGGAAACCGGAGTGGCCGCGTGGCCTTGAGGATGCGAAGCCGCTCTTGCGGCAACTTGTACAATGGAAGTGACATTGCTGTGACTTGCGGCTTTCTCATCCTTGTGCGCGCGTGCTCTCAGGTTCAGGGTTTGGGGTTTTTTCGGATACGTTAACTGATTAATGTTTGCTTTACCGCTTGTGTCTCCGGAGTATTCGGCGGATTTGGGCTCTTTGAGCACTGTGTCTTGGAATGGCCGCTGCTCCGGCTGCCAATCCGCTGATGCACAATCGTGTGAGGGACCCTGCTTTCCCTCGCTGCGCTTTAGGGGGTCTTCGTTGGGTACGGTTGTTGATTTTGGGGTTTTGATTGCCGGGACTATCTGTTGAAATGCACCTGGGAAAGCTCCGGCTCTCCCTGTGATTTTGCTGTGTGTGTGTGGGCACGTCTTTCGACGCAAGGAAGTGTGGTGTTGACGCTTCGGCTGCTCGCCTACACGAAGAAGTTCCGTACGCACGATAACAGTGCTGGGGGCCTCGATGGCTTTCCAAGATGAGGAGGTGCCCGCTCGATACCTATATGCGAGGTTCGTCGCGCCAGCAGCATTGTGGGCAGCAGGCCGTGCCATCCATATGAAGCATTTTTGAAGGGAGCCAACAGCTTACAGCTGCTGCAGCTCAGACAGGCCATAGGCATCCGTCGGAAACCGGGAGAGACATGGGTGGATTGGAACCAAATGTTTCTCAGGTAGGCCAGGACCACTAGCCCAACGACCGGGCCTCAGGTGGAGCGACTCCATGGCCACATAGCCCGCCGCGAAGATCACATCACCTTGCTGCTGCTGGCGCCCACAGAACTAGTGGAAACAGGAACAGCGACAGAAACATGGACTTCGCCACCCACAGCGCTTCAATGCCATGTTAAAAACAGAGCGGCTGCTCGAGAGGATAGCCCCAATTGGAAACAGGAAGCCAAGAACCGCACCAACTGAGTAGCCAAGGAGGCAGGCTTCCTCCGACGATATGATTTGCCCTGGGCCTCTGGAAAACAGGGCCCCTCGGAAAATCTGGCCGCTAACTAGTCACAACCAACCACCCCACCACAACCGCTCAGAGACAGAATGGCGCGTGAGGACAGACAGAGCGAGTGAACATGCAGACAAGCACTATCAAGCAGTGTGATTGCTAGGTAGGTCACCTCAGCCAACCGGTTTGACCCGTCTCGCTGCGACACCACCGTACTATACCACAATAGCGTACCAGGGACCACCGCTACACAGCACTAGGAATACCATGAGACTAGCGTTGCAGCGATAGGCAGCCCGCGTGTCCGCAAGCTTTGCGACTTGAGTTGAGGTCGGAGAGGAGACTGCTGTTCTTGTGCAGTGAGGAAGCAAGTTCGAGCAGTGCTCCTTGATTGACAGCAGGATCGAACACGCGTGTAAGGTGAAGAGGCATGAAGGACAGTAACGAGCCGTCGACATCCCTCAACTGCAAAGCACATGATAGGCAGACATTCATCGACAGGTGCCCACTTGTGCATTCACCCGTTTCTCTGGCAGCTCTAGCAACTCATCAGGGACTGTCGTCAGCCAACGGTTGTGATGGGCCCGGCGTTCCGAGGTGGCATGATTTGGGCAGCATGGGCTGCAGTGATGCTCGCCGCGACCGTAGCAGAGCAGCCAATCCGGAATGTCGCGCCCCCTGCCACTGAACTCGCGAGGGCTGGCCATAGAGGGCAAGAAGTGGAGCTATACCGAAAGGATGAGTCAGCATTCATGCGCGCAACGCCTCCTTGGAGAAGAAGGCAAAGAACATCGAGAGAGACAGCGGTGGAATCAACTGTGAGGAGCCGCGCAGAGCCGCCCCCGGTAGCACAGCGAAACCGAGATCTGTGGAAGAGGCAGACAATGAAAGGTTGCCGGTATCAGTTGACCCGCTGGGGCTGCGCTCGCCGCCGCCACAAGATATCCAAGCTTGCAAGTTCTATGGTTGGGCATCGACGCAGAACAGTCCAGGGCTATGAGAGACATGGTCCACAACAGCAACTCGGCAACCCCCGTTGTAGCTTTTTTGGACTTTTCAGGAAGGCTGAGATGTTCACACAGCGAGGTGTGGCGGTAAGCCTCCTAGGGCCTAGGGCTACAAGTTGCCCTGTCTGCCGAGATCCAAGACAGAATCTAGTACCTGGATATGTCGGACCAGGAGACGAGACCAAGAAAATGAGGAGGCAGTGACGGATGAGGGCCACTGAGAAGAGGAAGAAGAAGGTGAAGAGGAGGTACCAGTGGAGGAATCAGATGAAACAGCGATGATGCGCGGAGACAGCAAGCCAAGCAATGCCGTCGGAAGAAGACCGACGCAAGCCTTCGGAGAGCCGGCGCAGTTCTATGGAACCATCGTGGGGCCCTTAGGCAGACGATCCGGAGGCAAGGAGGAAAGTGGCAAAACCAATCCTTAGAGGGACCCTCATGCTGCAGGACTGGAAAACGTCGGGGCGAGGACCGACGGAGAACGCAGACACGCTCACCGCTCGCAGACAACTGTTAGGCTGTCAGGCCTTCAGCAAAAAGAACTAGATGCGGCTGCTGGACATCGTTCTGGATGCCATGTCACCGTTGGACCTACGAGGACTTAGCCAACAAGATAGCCAGGGCATACAACAGCGTCGAGGAGCCCGAACCACCGACGCCCCTGTTGGAACTACGCATAGCTATGCGAAGCCACACAAATGACGAGACGCAGGGAGAGGAAGAGGATGAGGCGGATCAGCCGATGGAGCAGCAGCAGCAGCAGAATCAACAAGACAAAGAAGAAGGCGGGAGCAAGGCAGAAGAACGAGGAGCACCGGCCAGGAGAAAGAAGAACAGCCTGATTACACACAAGAGAAAGAGCAGACAGGGAAGCCAGCAGTAACCGCCCAAACTAAGCAGAAGGCAGACCAGCGAACTCAGCAACATCCCATCAAAAAAAAGCCATAAAATGGGAAAGCGCTCGAAGAACAATGAGAGACGACGGGACGCGTCGGCCCAAACATTCAGCAGATGGAGGCAAGTGCGTGCAGGCCTCCGCAAACCAAAACCGTGCGTGCAAATGGTGCATGAAGAGGATGGCAACACCACCAACCCTATGGCGAAGGCGAAGGGTCGGCAGCGGAGCAAGACGAAAGGGCTACAGCCAAGCTGCTGCGCGGCGTCCCTTTCTGTAGTTGGGCAGGGATGTGTGTAACTGATCAAGGCTGAGCTCTACAATGGCCGAAAAGCTCAATGGGCCATAGGTAGCTGCAGAAGAGAGCAACCGCGATGGTAAGTGCAACCATAGATTGGCAGCCACTGGGCGACCAAAAACCAATGGAGCGTAGCAGCTTCGGATGTGCGACGTGTGCAGCATCCCGGAATAACCGTCAAAGCGCTGACCAGGTAGCCTTCTGTTGTGAGCTGCAGGTTATGGTATGGTTCCTCCGCAACCGAGAGGAGCCACTCAAATCCAAAAGAGACGATGGTGACAGGGGGAAGCGTTGAGACGATGCGACGACTGACTGAGAAACCCAAGAGATGCAGCGCAGACGCTGCTGGACCAAGTTCAACAACTCCAGAAGGATGGATACCCATCTGGTGGCCTATGTACATACATGGGCAGGTGTTGGCCCAGAAATAGGAACCGCGTGAATAAAACATCATCCGTCTTAACTAACCCTGATTCAATTGGGGATAATCCTTCTAATCCGTAACGACCCAACTCCTCACGAGATCTTACTGGGCGAGGAGCATGCGGACCGGCTGGAATATGCCTACACGCTCTGTAGGTTCTACGCGGCGGCCTTCCAATGAGGACACGCAGAGCTGCGCTTAGAGCCAACTTTAGAAGGAACCCATGCGTCTCTGACGAGCAGAATTCTTCCTTGATATCGACTGGAATGTGTTCCAGAGCCCCGCAAACACGTGCACAAACGCGCCACATTTGGCCCTCCTATTATGCCTATCTCAACAAGAGACGAGCCATCCGAAGGGAGGCTACTTACTACCGAGTCGATTAGGTACTCGGGGCCGCCTCAGTTTCGCACTTGCCCTGCTGCATGATCTGAACCAACTTTGCATTTGACGACTCCTCTAGATCACGGGAAACCGCTGCCACTCGGGCCTGAGCCGCCCGCCTGTGGCGAACTAAGGCCGCATACCTCTCAATGAGACCCTCTGCCGCTTCCCGAGAAACCTCCGGGCAAGCTGTTGAGGTATCGATCTCCAGCGGACCATCTTCCTTGTGGATAACCTCGCAAGCATCTTCGTCACGTAGGACGCGATAACCCAACTTTCGGAGAGCAGTGTAGGAAACTATTGGAAGTACATCCTCCGCTGACAGCGACGTCCCTTCCGAGGAGATTATTAGATGACTTTCCCCAAGCGCCAGGGAAACTTTTGCTGTTGGGTAATTACAAGCTCGCTCATGAGCTTAGCAGTTCTCACACAAGCTGTAGCTCCACCATCAAGGAGTCTTTTTTCCCTACTGCTACCTTGCGAATGCTTTCGAAGGCTCGCCTAACACTCTCTACCTCAAGGCTATAATCTACCAGCAGCCTTGCCGTACGCATGGGCTTCAAGAGGGCATGAACTTCCTTCACCGCCTTGATGGAGTCCGCGTCAAATGTATCTGCGCCGCCAGTTCCGCCAGAGCCAGACGACGAGTTGGTTGGCTGATCAGCTGGAGCCGACGAACTGGTGGCTTGAACTTTGGCGAGCGCCTTCGTCTTTGATTTGCCCTTGTCTTTTGCTGTAGGATCCGCTGATCCATCGCGCGTCCACCCGGACAGGTGCATGCAGGCTTAAGGTGATCTGGCGCCCCACAGTTGTAACCTCGCCCCTGAGCCTCTGGAGCATGTGTATACTGACACGTGTCCCCATATGGGCACTCTGCATCTTCAACCCAGTTGAAGCGCTGCGGTCTATTTCCTGACTTAGGCTCCCAGTCAGCCTTAGGTTTGCCATCGCTGCCAGAAGTATCTCCAGCCTTGGCCTTCGGGTTTTCTTCCCTTTTTGAACTTTTCTGCTTTCCCTTGCTTCCCTTTCCTCCTTTTGAGTCCTCACCATTTTTCAACTGTGAGTCCTGCAACCCTTTGCTTCTTATCTTGTTGGGTCTCATTCCCCACTGCTCCTTCAAGCTCTGCAAACCTGCGACTCGTGACGAAATGAGGACACTCTAAACGACATAGTCTGGGCAGCTAATGTTGAACCACACAACTTATCTATGGCTGCTACCAAAAGAGATGCGTTCGGAAGGCTAACCTCCAGTTCAGCTGCTAGATTCATAAGACGACTCCACGTACATAGCGCTGTGAGGGTATCGCTTAAGTTCTTTCCAGGGGCAGGATTGGTTAGGGCACTCAGAAGCATTGACTTTTCAGACAACCCGCCAGGTTGAAACGCGGTCAACACTCTAAAGATGATTGCCGTTGAATCTACAACTGCTGATTTGAAATAACTCCGTCTGTAACCACTTAGGTACGGCGAGACGAATGGCAGTCTGTTCAACACGAGCGTACTCGGTATCATCATACCGCGGCTTGTCGCTCTCCCCTGCTGCTTTAATGGCAAGCTTACCTTGGGGGCCTAGCGGGCAACCACTGCTTATATAATTTATGAGCTCTGATTTAACCCCATCCGAAGGAATCCCCAACCCTCGCTTGGGAAACTCAATCCCCATTGATGCATCATCGCTGGGTGCTGCAGGTGGTGGAGGTGGTTTCGGAGGTGTTGGTGGAGGAGGTCCGCGGGGTACACGGGTATTTATCGGAGTTTGTGGGGAAGCGCTGGCCCAATGACGAGAATCACTATTCCGGGGTTGTTGCGTTGGAGAACCTATATCAACGGCTCTGCCATGGACAAACTCCCAATCACGCCCTATCTGGGCATCAACCCCATGGTGGCGGTTTTCACATTAGACGGGCTAGTATCGCCACGACCATACTTAACGCCTGCGGCAGTGCTCTGACTTACACTGTGCGCGTCGTTTCGCTCAACTGACAGAACCCGTATCCTACCCTGACCATCAACTACTCCCCTCCTAACTTGCCCATTAACCTCAACTGCAACTACACGACTCTGAGATGCTTGGCTCAATCCTGATCTGGACAAATGAGCTGGCAACGGCGGAGAGGGGGGGGTACGAAGTCTCCCCAACCCCCTAACATCCGAAGGTTGGGGTCAATCCCGCCGCAACCTAACTGGTGGAATCCCTGGTGTAGCCCTGCAACCGCAGGTACCTTGCGATATAACACATTTGACCCACTACAAGGCGAGGGTGCAATAGGGTAGCCTAAGCTTAACTCCACCGGATAACTAGCCGATGAGTCCAAGGCGCTACCTAAAGGTACAGGATTCTGAGCAGAGGTAGACCGCGCTTCCCACCATGTACCCTGCCTGTTGTCCTAACACAACCCCTTGACCTATTGGGGAACCTATCCCCACGGCTGCGCTCTCCCTAAAATCCCCAAGACAAGACCGTGCAAAACTTGACCATGTTTAGGAACGCCTTCCCTGCTACGCCTATAATCTTCGCGGCCCTCGGGGCAGGTCTAGCGCTACAACCCACAACCATTGAAGCCTCTACTTCAGAGCTACCAGCAGGAACCTCGCCCCGCGAACTCTTTTTAGGCACGCCTACTGTAGAAGGTAACGCGAGCTGAGGCCTTTGGCCCTCACTCTTGCCTACTACATGACCTCCGGTTTGGGCCAAGGGCCCTAAAACTTGAGACTGCTGAGCTGATTCACTGCAACTGGGTTTCCATTATCTTCAGCTCCTTCTAATACAGTATGCGCCGAGATTACTGACGCAGGACGTGACTTTTCCAGGCTCGCGACTCGTTCTTGCAACGCCTCGTTCTGCCGCAACAGTAACTGAAAAACTGCACTTGCATGATCCGATAAATCTCGAGATTGCGCCAGCTGAAGTATCGTCATCCTGGTTTCAGATTGTCTACAGTGTCTACAGGATCCAAAGCTGTGCCAGCTCTTTCCAGACCCTTCGACTGAACCAAAATTGTACCAGTTCTCTCCAAACCACTTGGCTGCACCAAAACTGTACCAGTCCTTTCCAGACTATGTTGAAGAACTCCCGCAGTCCCACTCTCTGGAAGTGCCTGACTCAAATCTTGTTCCAGTCCATCTGCTGAAGCACTGTCTCGAGCAGCCAATCGCGTCAGATCGACCGCGACTGGGGCCGTGTCCAACTGTAGGCCGTGAACTTGGCTTGTAACCTGGTTCAATCAGGCTGACGAAATGCTGTATCCGTCTGGTGACCCTCGAAGCGCTCCACTGCAGTTACTTGATTCACACCAGCGTTCAACGCACTATGTGTGTCTGAAGCACCAGTCACTGTGACCGGAACCACTCCAGCACTTTGTGGTGCAGCGTTCGTTGTTCTCCGAAGCATCTCGCCGCCAGCGGTGTGCCTCACCGGAGTCCATCCAGGATTACGTTGCTCCAACTCATAGGGCGGGTGCTCATCCACGAACGACTCTTCATTGTTCACTGGAACCCTCCAGGCATCTGCACCCGCTCCAATCCGTTCCAAGGCTTCTGGTCGTTCTGCATGAAAACCATCCCTGTCTTCACTGATTGCTTGGCCATCCAATAGCTCGGGCCGAGCCGCCCTAAGGCGGTACTCACATTGCGCGAACTCAAACCAAAAAGGATTCGGATGACCAGCCTCCAGCTGTCTTGCCGCTGAACCACACTCAGCATCACCACTGTAGAATGCTGTGCATCCAGTACAGGATGCTCACTAGAGGAGGCTCCAGGTTCTTGGCCTGCCATGGCGCCGCAAAGTAGCACAGCGAAACGCAGTGGCTATTCATAACCTGCTCGTGAGCAGGTAGGCCCATGCAGCACTCTTTTTACCACAAGCCGAGAACAATACAACCGTCATGATTAAGTACTGCTTCATTACTGCTTCATTTCTCAAAAAGGATAACTACTGTACAAGTCAGACCTAAGGGCTTCAAGGTACTATGGAAGTATTAACCTCGACACACCTTTTACCCCTAAACATCTTCTTGACAGGGGAAACGGCAACGGCAAGTAAAGCATCGTCTCTTGCACACCATCAGCTCTCATATCATTCTCAGACGCGCCTTTCGTTCCAGAACGGAACCTGTGTTCTAGAGCATTGTCCAACTTATCGATGTTCGGAGGCTTGCGTACAACATCAATAGGGCAGCCTTTGTATCTTTGTGGAAGAGATGCGAGATCTCTTTTTTGAAGAACATAGGTTTGATGCTACAGAGGGCCTTGAACCTTGTGCCGATCTCCAGATGAGGAGAGCTCAAGCTCCAATTGGTCCCATTGAATTTCTATGGCTTCAAAGTTCAAAGAAACACCTGCAAGGAACTCGAGCTTCCACTTTTCTCAAGTCAACTGTATCGCTCACTGTATTGCGGAGAAGAAAGAAATCGATTTCGTTCAGAGGAGCAGAGGTTTGGCTCTACTCGTGACCTAATTTGGGAGCCGTTGGTTATTTCGGGATGTCGGGGTTTATTCAATTGTTGCACGCTTAATTTCATGAAAAAAATCCTAGGGAATCTTATTTGCTGCAGCGCGGGTGAACGGATGTGAACGGTATCTATTATGTGGTATGCTTCTTCTCCATATTCCGTAGTATCCAAAGAATCTGAAAGCTAGTTTTTCTGTCTGCAAGCGTCTAAATTATCTCAATATTTCTCGCATTTTTTTATTGGGGTGTGAACACTACTTAGTTCCTACTTGTAACATTTCAACGGTTTCCGAGGGATACTACATGTGTATCTTTGGCCTTGCATTTCCCGCTTTTAGAACCCTTACAAAATTCGCTACAAATTTGCAGCTGGGTTCTCTGATTATGGGCTCCTTTTATTCGCCTAAAGGTTCCATATTGAAAGGACGTCGCAATTCTTGAGCTTCTTGTCTTCTATTGACAAGAACCCTTCCACTTTGACCTTGAATACACACTTTTACATTGTGCTTAATCTTAAAAACGCAATTGTCAATCCGAGGTTCTTGCCATTTACTATATGAACCCCTGATTGTGCTGCAAATTCTAGGCAGAAATTCTTAGATCCCGCGCTCCTGCTCGCATTATTTTCGATGTATAATTCCCAGGCTGTATACATGTACTTCAAAGTTTAAAAAAGAATTCTCGAGTCTGGTGTTTCTTCTCCTTTTCTCTACAAAGTGTTTAAGAAATGTGTTTCAAATTTAAGCTGGAACTAACAATTATTGGTGCGACGGGTTTTACGGAGAGACAAAAAAAGCCAAGACTTGAGAATTTGTATGTCAGAAGGAAATCGTACATAGAGAAATGAAGAGAACAAGGGTTCACGGTTTAAAAATTCTTGTTTACATCTGCAGCACATGAGCAGATATGTGGGACATTCGCAATCAGATGTGCTTTCAATGAGCAATGCGCGCAGCCAGGTTAGGCCTGCTCCTTGGTATCAGTCTTGCCAGCATGTCGGAAGTATGGGCCTGCAACAGTCTTATCTTTAGCAATAATACCACTTATAATACTACTGGTTATCAAAGAGAAATAGTAACAATGATGATAATGACAATGCAAGGTAAATATCACGTAGCAACAGAGATATTGCTTTTAGTATTGATAAGAGTAGTATTACTATTTGAAATACTAGTAGTATTAACAATGATGGGAGTCATAGTAGAAGCCCTGGTAATGGTAAGCGGAGTAGGAACAACTGTAACAGTACCAATACGACTACGAAGTAGCAGAAGTAGTAGCAGTAGCAGCTCCCCACCATCTGTGCTGGTTGAAATCTTACAAACCATTAGGGGGCCGTTTTGGCCCGCATCTTTGACTGTAGCCCTGAAGTCTTTGATGATAGTGTGTCCAGATAAAGCTCGCAAAGAAGGCCTTGGAGAATTAACCAGCTCCCTGCCTGGAAGGCAATTGACTAATGCCGCCTCCCCTGAAACTCGATTTAATATTGGCCATTTACGCAAACATAAAACACAGTTGGTGGTAGTAGTCGTAGTAGTAGCAGTAGTAAGAATAATCACAGCGATCCCGATGATAATAAGCATGGTGAGAATGGTGATCAGAATGATAAGTATATTAATAATCATGATCATTATAGTCGTAGCGAAAAAAGTAATATAGTGAGGGATGTATGCGAGGCATTGCTGAGCAATCTGCTTGCGCTGAGTCCATGACACTGCAGACTAGTCTTGCATGTTCCTGACTTTGGGGCCTCTACAACAGTTACCTCCCCGCACCCCCCCCCCCCACCCGAAACGAACAAAAAAAAGAAAACGTTTCAAAACAATTCCACCCGAGACGATCTTGCTGCTTCACAGGCTGTACAGGCTGATCAAGACATGGCTGGACCCGGTTACAGCATCAAAGATTCAAGTGCTGGGAAGAAATTTTCAACCAGTGCTTTTGGAGCACATCGATGCAGCTTGGGTTTGAAAGAGGCGGTCTGTCTTCCACCCAAGCCTGCTAGCCATGCTGCGTGGACCAAGGCAGACCAGCTTCCTCGAGATTATGGCGGCACCGTGGATTTCGACATTCTGGGCACTGCTTGGAGCGAGGAGGCAGCATCAAAGCAAGCAGCACCTTAGAACTTTCATACGCTTCTTGATTCAGCACAGGACTGCGAACGCTGTGTCTCCAGCTGCAGGCTTGCACTCCAGCAGGATGTTCGCGAGCGCCAGTCCACAGAAAACCACTGCTACAGTGCTGACAAACCCTGGCCTCGAATCCAGCAGCTTTTTGTCCTCAGTGTTCTTCTGCTTCTAGCATTGTATGGCATTCCGTAGTTCAAACTTGTACATTCTCAAATGTAATCTCCCATTGCAGCATGCAGCTAAAGAGCTGCGTGGCATAGCCTGAGAAGTGGCTGCTTGTCCAAGCGGCTTCCGCTGAAACACTGCGGTACCGATGATTATAAAGCAGGCAAATGGTGATTCATAGCTTCTGTCATGGTAACACTCACCAGTTTGTGATTAGACTTTTTTTGCCAAGCTTGCTCAGCATGCCTTGTCACTGGGCTCCACAGCAGATTATGTCAAGGCGCGCTGCGTGGCTTGGCCATTGTTTTTGCAAGGGCTCATGAATCCCTTCTACCTGTTGCACTGTTCCCCCTATTTGCTTTTCGGAAGCTCGGGCTAAAGACTGGGTCAAGAGAGAAGACCAGATTTTTGCGTGGGCAGCTCTTCAGGCTTACCGATGTTAAAGGAGTAATCAGGTTACCCGGCAAATGGTTGTCAGAAAATGATGCAAATGGGAAATCAATATGCAGCTAGCGTTGCAAGGAGAATTGCGCAGGCCACATTGTACGCAGAGCCGACATGAAGGAACCCAGCTGCACGAGGGTTTTGATTGTATGTTGCTCTACTTGCTCAAAGAGCCAACCAGAGCGACTTACGCATGGTTTTGCTGGCGGTGCAGGTTGCAAAAATGACCCAACATGATGGAGTGTACAGTTCGGTGCAGCTGAGACATCCGCGAAAAACGTTTCCTGCTCATGTGCTGCGACTTCCAGTGCAGGCTCGAGAACCCAGAGCTGGAGCAACACGAGCAAGTTGAAACGCATGTCCTAAGCCTGGATGGACTGAAAGGCTACAGTAGTAGTCCCCTTTCACGTAGCTTGCCCGCAACTTGAACATGACGGGCAGCTTCGGTGGTCTGATTGGAGGAGAAGGTTCAAACCACAGGCTGGCGTGCTGATGTATTCTCGGCTTCCCAATGCCCAGGCGTTTAGCAGCATGCACTGGGCACATACCAGGCCTCTCTCGAGCTTCACATACGGAAACAGGCCAGTGACGACTTGACAGCTATGCAAAAGCTACGGGTAGTCGCAGTTCTGGGTCGGCAGGTACGCAAAGTATCCTGCACACGGCTATGTCCGAGGTCATCCCGGAGAGGGGATGAGCAATCCACCTACGTGCTGCCAGACTTCGTGTGACAGCCTACCATGGAAAGCTCGTAGTCTTGTGCCAGGTACCAGATGTGTCGTCAAATCGGGCACGACTTTGCAGCAATGAAGGCAACGCAATACAGGACCAGATAAGATTTCTGTGCATGCTGTACTTATGAGAGTCAGATGAGCTGAGGCGCGATGTGCGATTATTGCTTCTTATATGCTGATGCGATCTCATGGCATGTTCAGGGCCCTGGTCAGGTTCGCTGGTATCCGATTACTCTGCTTCACAAGCACAGTGCATGACGGGTACACGGTACACACTTCTGATCTTGGTTTTCGTGTGCGCAGCTCACGGCTTGTCACCTCGCAGCTACGGCAGAACGGGAAGGAAAACAAGCACAGTGGCCGATGCCATTGAGATGCTCTTGGCCACGGCAAAGAGCCGATGGCTGCCACATGATGCTTCCAGCAGCCACCAGTTACTAGTATTTGTATTGTGGCGCTGCGCCGTCTTCCGCCGAAGTCGGTCTGTCAAAGAATGCGACAAAAGCACGAATTACAAGTAAGGGAAACGTCATTATCAGAAAACAAAATCTCCCCATCAAACTTATAAATACCGTGGGAAACAGACACGAAGATGGAAAGAAGAAAGGAAACAAGGCCAGCCGTAGCCATAAGTCTCCTCCCGCGTCCTTATCGGGCGCTATCGGCTTTCAGCCATCATAACTTTTATGCTGCAAGCACGGGGGGTTGCACATGCGCAAGCGCGCGAAATTGCGTACATGGCCAGAGCGTGACAGTACTACTTGGAGCCATACTGTTTGCATGCCCTGAACATTGCCGAGTTGTCTCGTTTGCTGTAGTTTGCGTCTGCACACCACGGACTCCTGCCATTTGCAGTGTTCCTGCTTTGAGCCTTAGTGAGCCTTGATATTCAACACTTGCAGCATTGGACCCGAACCTTCTTGAGCATTTCTCTCAAGAGCCCTCACAGGCTAAATTGCAGGGACGCACCAGGCCCTCACCAGGCTTGTTTGCTTCAAAAAGTGCAGGTAACAGTATGCCGGGTCGTGGCTGGCAGTGTTCACTGCTCCTGTGTGGACACGGTACGAAAAACGCCATGAGTCGAACTTCCCTACTTCCCTCTCTAGGGGTTCCTGCCCTTGCATGGTCGCGGTCCCGGTAGCATGCAGCTTATGATTTCATCAAACCTCCATAGCCCCTCCGTGGTGGGCCTTACCCTTGCTAAATCATGAATCGAATCGCAGCATATTGATCGTATTGGTGTTGCATCAAACCTCTGTATTCCGTCCGTTCTGGTCCCTCCTGTTGCAAAGTCCTTGTATGTAACCACACTAATGACTTTTTGCCACGGTACAGGCAACATCCTTTTTTTGGATCTTAGTGGTTTCGTGTTGCTGTATGGGCACCCCTTTTTTTCAACATTGCCATCTTTTTTTTCACCTGAGCAGTTAAAAAAATAGGCGCT